GAACTGCAGATTGTTTTGAAAGATATACAGTGTTATTCCTTGGAACTACATCCCAAAATATTTCCCAGTATAGGTCCGGGAGGCTGGCTTCAGTAAACACATTTATTGGTAATTAGTAGAATTTCACACAAAAATGCTGAACTCCTAGAGAATGCTTCTTTTTTAAAACTTAAGTAGGTTATGTAATCTTTATTCTGTTAATTCGCTTAGCAAATCTTTTCCTAGTATTTAATGTGGAATTAGAGCTCAGTTCAAGGTCATCACAATTGTTCCCTATAAATTAGCAGCATTTTAGAATTCTCAGCTGCCAATATATGAACTAGGAGCCCACAGAATTTACGGTTTTGTGTTGACTGGACAGACTTGAGAGTGGCAGCATTTAATGATTAATTATTCATTTTTGAAAAGACACGTACATATTTGCTGTGTCATCCGCGGCCCGTGTTCTCTCAGATCTGCGCCTCCTGGTGCCCTGTCAGCTGGCTTCTGACTGGATTGGGCCAACAGGAGTCTCTGGGAAAGAGTTCAGGTATAGGAAGCTATAGGAATTTCTCCCATCTGTCTCTGCCAGCCTCTCTGATGGTGGCTGGGTCTGGCTGTGGCTCCAGCTTTGGGGAGACAGGTCCGCCATGTTTCCCGCGTCTTCTGTTGGCCCCTTATCCTAGCACTCCACCTACACTTGGCTGCATGAAGGTCTTGTGTTAGAGGCAGTGGAGGAAAAGGAAGCCAGAAGGTAATGGGCTAGATCACCAAGGGCGTGAAGATTCTGCTAAGCACTTGGACTGCACTCCTTCAATGACTGAGAACAATGAAGTAGGAATTTAGGCAGAGGAAGTAGGCCAGCAAATTGATCCCTACAACGGTCACAGCCCAGTATCTCAGAGGAGACACCGGAGGCAGAGAAAGCTGCTGGCCAGGGCTTAGGGCTCAGAAGCTCTGGTTGGCAGACTGGTATTTGATTGGAGGCCTGAATGAAGGAGGGGGAAAAGTGAGGTGTATTAAGGGGTAGGATGTGTAGAACTTGTTGAATTATTTGGATGTTTTCGGAGTTATCACTAAATGATGGTCTGTTGCTGTACTCAGAGGTCAGAACATGCTTGCTTGGTTAGGCTAAGGGAGATTTTCTCAGGTTGGGGTCACCCTGTCTCCTTGGAAGTCTCATGCACATTTCTGGGTTGTTTACTCTGCCTTATGCCCTGAATGTATTTTACATTCCAAACAAATTAAGGAGCTTGTTTGTGGCGTTTCCATAGGTTCTTAACAGGCGATGTGTGTGGCAGCACTGCTCCTATTTTACAAGCAAGCCAAATACTGGATTACTTTTGAAAACTATTCGTTACTCCTATTCACCATCCATCACCCCTGAAACCCTTTTCAGGGCTGTGGTCTGCCCAGTTTCTCTCTACTGGTCATGAAAGTTGTCAAACACCCACCACGTATTTATCTCATCTCCCACTTCTGCCGGTCCCAGCTTTCTCATCTGATGAAATAATTAACCTCCTAGTTGATAAAACCTTGATGAGCACTGAGTGAGGAGTCCAGCAATAGAACATCTTCTGCTAATTGAGAAAACCTACAAGTCCACCCCTACCAAGCCCTCCACAAGCCAAAGACCCTGTACCAGATTTTCAGAAAGTAAAAAAAGCACCGTGTCTACCCCCTGGAAGCTCAGCATCTCGAAACAGACCTGACAAGGTGGAATGTGGCAAGAAGTAAAGCATTATAGGCAGTGTCTGCCTTGAGTTATCCAAGTAGGACTCAGTGTGCGTGCTGTTCTGGAGTTTCGGCTAGGTGATGTTAGTAGGCTTGAAATCTAAAACTAGTACACTCCATTCTGCGAAGATTCAATGGTTGAGAGCATGGGTTGTGAAATCTTCCCTAACAGTAGAAGAAAGTGTATCACCTTGGCCAGTCATCTCTCTGCTTCCCTCCGATATCTGTAAGATGAAGGCCGTAGTAGTTTGTATGCTGATTGCTAGGAAGACTAAATGACAGCTGTATGTGGTGTGTAGCGTGTACCTCCTGACAGTAGATATGGCTGTTGATCATACCTGGGGCCAGAGGGAAGGTTCTAAAGGGCCAGTTGAAAAAGCTGCATGCGAGTCCCAAGAATCGTTGTTGTCCTTGCACGTGAGAACTGTTAGGGCTAACCCTGTGATCCTTCATAGTCACTTCAGTTAATTATGAAGAGGACCCTGGTACATACAGGCTTTCTTCATGACAGATTAGTGTTTTGAGTTTTTAGTTATCCCTTTGATCACATTGCACCTTAAATACATAACACAGTTGTACTTAGAGAACTTACAGAAGTTTAGAGGCCAGCAAGTGGCAAGTATCACTGTAAAGGGTCAGCTCTGCCTTTCTGAAACCTTCCACAAATATGCATCGCCTCCCCTCGCATTTGAATTCAACACACATGAATTGAGTGTCTCTCTTTTTCAGTTTCTGTGTAGGCTCCAGGGTTTCGGGGATAAACAAGTAGTCCCCATCCTCATGAGGCTTATAATCCTATGGTAATATATGTGAACAGCTCAGTGCACTGTGATACAAGCACAAACAAGTGTGCAGGTCACAGGGGTGTTCAGGAAGGAGAGGGTGAAGGCTTCAGAGAGGCTGTAACATTTTAAAGATTTTAAAGGAAACAGGGATAGGAGATCAGACCACAGTTCACACAGAACGGGATCATGGGTGTGTGGAGGGCCATAGTTGGAGGTTGGAGATATAGGTAAGGCATAGATCGTGTAAGAGCTTGGCCTCTCTCCTGGGGCCTTTGGGGACCTTTGGAGCACTTCAGGCAACAAAATGCCACAAGACCCATTTTTAGCAGGATCACCCTAGTGTGGAAGATTGAAAAGTGTATCGGAGATAGCAGGTTTGTGTCACCACCACAGAGTCACTGAGGGTAGGGGCAGGGTCTGCAGTATCCCATCTCTAATGTTTAATGTCACAGACATGCAAGAAATGTTTTGGAGCAAAGACAGTGTGAGTTGAATTTCCCAGCTCTGCATCCTCTCCTCAGAACATGCTGACCTGGACCTCCATCTGTCAGAAGCAGCTTGACTCAGATCATAATAAATTCTCTTTTCTTGGCATTCTTTTAACTGGCACACTGTTTACCAGCCCTTCCACGCAACTGTGGTGGGGTGGTGATTGATGCTTACAATTCTGACCCTGAGGTACTTCAAGCCTGCTAAATCATCAGAAAAAGATTAAAGTGTATTCAGTACTGCTCTAATGTTTGTGGGTTTTACTGCATCCTTATTCTTTGGAAACCGATGGTTTTTCAAGTACCTGTGTACTTGGATACAGTGGGACTCTGATCACCTACAGCCCCAAACTCCCTCGGGTGCCAGGCACAGGCAGTTTATTATGCATGCCCGAAAATAAACAGTGACCCGAGTTCTCTCCAGACCCAGAAGGAGGAAGCAGGTTAGCCCCAAAGGGGCAGATGAGCCAGAATGAGAGTGAAAGCAGTAGTTAGAACAGCAGTGGGAATGAGAAGGCAGAATTGGAGCAGACCAGGGGATGGACAGTGTGCAGGCTGCCAGCACAGCCTAGCCCCCTGCAAGAGCGCAGCGTGGAGCCAGGACCCAGATCCATGCTGTGGGTGCTGTGACCCCAGTCACCAGGCTAAGATTTGGCAGGATTCTCCACCAGCTATATTTGTATTGCACTAACTGCCGTTCGGTGAAATGCCAAACATTAGCAAGTGGAAACATCAATAATGAGAGCATCCTGTTCCCCATGCACATCTCTTCCTGAAAATCATTTTTTCTGTGGAGCTGACAAGATTATTAGGCCCAAAGTGAAGAACTCAGGATAGAAGCTAAGCTGTAGCTCTATTTGAAAGCTGGGTTCTGGGGGCTGGGGATTTAGCTCAGTGGTTCTGGCGCCTGCCTTGCAAGCGCAAGGGCCCGACTTTGATCCCCCCCAAAAAAAAGAAATAATACGAACTTCTTCATAGGGTCGGTATAAGGGTGAGATAGAACATTGAATGTGAAATATGCTTCCCTGGAAAGCCTTAGCTATATAAGTAGTACATAAACATACAAATATATATGTCCTATGTGTGATAGTATATATGAATATTAAATATGCTAAAGAACATCAAAGTATTCTAATGAAATACGGAAATGTATTTTACCCATATAAGTACAGGATCCTCACAAATCTCCCCAAAGGAGAATAGGGAGAAGAGCTGTGTATTGAGTTCCTGCAATAGGACAGGTATTCTAGACTTTCTCTGCTTTGCTCTACCCTCTTTATTCTGCAGGATATTAACCCCCTCTTACGGAGATGAGGGAACTGACCCTCTTCCTCCTCGGGCATAGTTAGCTGTCCTTGTTTAGCTCCTGACTCACAAAGGCGCCGAGAACTGCTCGTGTCCCTTGGGGCTGGGCCATTTCCTAGTGTCTCTGAGTCCTTCACACCTGAGGTGGAACAGCGAGGTTCGGAGGGGACTGGAACAGCACGAGTGGGTCAGGAATGTGGCTCCGACACCCAGTCACAGCCCCATCGGGAGGTCGGTCAGGCCTGGACTGAACATTGGAGGGGACCATGCCCCGTCTCCAGGGCTTGAAGAAGTGGCTGTGACCCTGTGGTTCTCAGAGTTCAGTTGTGTTCTGTTAGTGATGCCACCACTGGCAGCCTCGTGGGTGCCACCTGCACCTGACCATTGTCGGGCAGTTTGTCGAGCTGCCCGTGGGAGGCCTATCTCAGGTCCCCTGCCACGCGTGGCACCTCTGCCCCTTGATCTTGTGGCAGCTTACTCGGTGCCCAGTGGGACCCTCTGCCACACGTATGTCCCTTTTTATATCACTTTCCTGGTTCGCAGACAAACAGCCGGTGAACCGGAGCTGCCCGCACAGAGAAACTGAGGTCCTGCCTGCTGAAGGGCCAGCTGCATCCTGGGGAGGCTGTTGGTGTGGGAGAAGCAGTTGTTCGGCCCGAGGCCCGAGGCCCGAGGCCCTGAAAGACGGTCCTGTGTGGTGTTTCCCTAGGTTCTCAACAGGCGGTGTGTGGAAGCGGCAGTGATGACAGGCCTGGCGCTGAACTGCCACATAAACAAGAAGTCCCTGTTCGACAGGAAGCACTACTTCTATGCTGACCTCCCCGTGAGTATGGTTGTGGTCACCCTGGAAGCCTTCCAGCTGGGAAGCCCGGCCTGGGGGACAGGAGGGAGGGGGCAGGGCCGCGCCTCTGCTGTTTTCTCTCCGCAGGCTGCCCGTCTCTGCAGGAGGCTCTGCTGGGGCCCGGACGAAGGCGGTGCCCCCTGATGTTCACTAGATTGTATGCAATTGTCCTGATTGCTGACTCCTTGCTTAGCCTCATGCTTCTGGTGGCTCTGTCATAATTGAACGGGGACTCGGAGGAACCAGTGTTGTTAGGCCCGGGCCAGCCGTGGAGTCTGGTGCTAATTGCCTGTTAGGACAAAGGCCGAGGCTGTGGCTGATGGATGGCTACTGCCCACTGTAGCTCTTCAGACAGGGGGAAAGCGCCTCTCATTAAAGCCTAGGGTCTCTATAAGAGCTGTCTGCTTTAGTGACAGCGCTGTCGCTTCCCAAGGAGCAAGTAAGTAGACAGTAGTAAGCAGAAACATGAACCTGAAACAGGCACGAACAGCAGTAATTGGCAGAGCAATAGGCTCAATATTTGCCTGCTTTTTTCTTAAAACTAGAAACTTTTTTCTTTAAGAGGTGCCGGTGTGAATGGGAGACAGTTTTTCATAACATTGAGTTGGAACAAAACTGAAATGTTGAATGGATCTCCCAAAATAATGTGTCATTTGATCCGAGCCTCTAATAGTAAGTATGACTCTCCTTTAGGTTTAGAAAAACACAGGTGACAATGCTGCCGCTCATTTGCCTTTGAACTACTAAAGATAGAGGGGAGCTGATGTTTAGTGGGTAAGGGTAGGAACCCATAAAAAATAGGAGCAGGACCCTGATTCTCCAATTGCAGCTTCTTTCCCCGCTCCAGCTACTTGCCTTCCAGTGAGTTCTGCTCTGTAGGTTGAAGAGAATTAAACTGCTTTTCTTCATCTCTTTTGTTGCTGTTTTTCAGTGTTGCAGATCAACACACGGCCTTGTGTATGGTAGGCAAGTGCTCTGCCGCTGAGCTACACCCTTAGTCCCCATTTCTTTTATCTTTTAACCAGTTTGGTTAAGGCGGGAACATCAGCAGTATGACAAAAATGATTATTTTATTTATGGCCTTCTTTCTGACACAAGTAACTCAGATAATCTGCAGCTGGTGTCGCCAACTATTAGACGGGATGTCCTTATACTAAAAAATCGTCACTTGCTGATCTGAAATTTAAATTTAACAGGGTGTGCTGTATTTTATCTGGTGACCCTCTCCAAAGTTTATAAGATACAGTTGAAAAATACAGTCAGCCTTTAAATTTAAAAACATATTTCAGGAAAAGATACAGTGCCGTTAATCCTTCTCCCAATATTAGCCTTTGCTTCTAACACACTTATCCCATGGCTCTTGCCTCTCTCTGAAGCAGTTCTGGAAGTCCTCTCCTGAATGTCTTTAGTTACTCTGTCATGGCTGCCTTGAGGCCCTGATTCCATTCAAAACATTTACCTTTCATAGTCATTTTGACTTTGGTGAAGAGCCAGAAGTTGCACAGTACCAGACACAATGAATAAGGTGGACAAGGACCCATCGTAGTGTTTTTACAAGCCTGCCTTTCCATTGGATGGTAATCAGCAGCCACATTCACATTTTGATCACACTTCTTAAGGGTACTCACAAAAGAAAACTTCCAGAACTGTTTCCAAAAGTGATACAAACGATAAGTGTGTTTGAAGTGAGAGGGAATATTTTAAGGGGAATTTATGGCATAGTATCTTACTGTAATAGTCTTTTAAGAAAATTAAAGCCCTTACCATATATTTTGATCACACTTCATAGTTTTACAAATTGAGACTTCCTTTCTCAGTGTAGAGATGAGTTAGCCTCCTGCGGGGTTCTCAGAGTGTGGTTCCAAGGTATCATATAGTTGTCAGCATCTCCTGGGACTTTGTTAGAAACAGAATCCTCAGGCCCCACCCCAGACCTCTTAAATTAGAAACACTTGAGGTGGCACTACGCACACTGTTTTGACAGGCCAGCCCACCGGCATTTCTGGTGGCATTAATGTTTTAAAACCCCTGGCTGGCCTGGTGATGAGGAAGCCAGACCCTGGAGCCGGAGCATCTGAGGAAACATGCTGATGCAGAGACTTCCCAGTTGCGTGTGGCTCTGCATGAGGCCATGGCCCTTCTGTGCTTGTACTGCTTCCCCTGGCTCTTGTGGGACCCCACATGAGTGTGACAGATCAGCAACCGTGTCTGGTGTCCAGGCGCGACGCAGATGCTTAGGTGACTTAGCTGTTGTCCTGGATTGTGCAAGTCTCTGCATGAGCCGGCTGTCTCCTTGGTGTGTGCTGATGCATGCATCTAAAAGGGATTCTTGTCTCACCCTTAGAAGGAGGCACAGTGTCCTGGCAGCATCCACCAGTGTGGTAGCGTTCTGGTTAGAGTGGGAGTGGAAGCTGGGTCAGTGAGGGCAGCCTGCATGACTGGTTGGCTGAAAGAGCGGAGCCGAACATGCTTGACCCTGCTGATAACTGCCGTCGGTCGTGTTGAGAGGAGATGGGAAAGTGCTTAGCCGGTGTTTCCTAATGAGGAGGGTCTGTCAGGAGCCCGGTAATGAGATGCAGGATGCAGGCTAATGAGCTAAATGAAAACAATCAATTCCTCTCTGAGGGGCTCCTGACAGGGAGATTATTGTTATTCTCAAAAATGGCACTTTTGTGAGGAAGATGGGATTCATGTTTCTAATTGCATCGTTACTGGGGGTGAAGGAATTGGGGGGAAAGAAAAGGGGTGATGGGAAGAGCCAGAAGCAATGTCTTTAAATTATGGCAGCCATGCATAAGCTAATTTTTCTTGTATTCTCGTTCTGTTGTTTTGTTGTGTGACACTGAGAGGAACCATACTCGAACCCAGCCTCTGGTGCTGGGCTCCTGACGTAACTCATGTCCGCTTGCATGCAGGCAGGGTACCAGATCACCCAGCAGAGGCTCCCGATAGCTGCCAATGGGAACCTGATGTTCGGAGTCTTTGTGGGCAGTAAGCGGAGTCACATGGCCACCAGGACAGTGAGGGTCAAGCAGATCCAGTTGGAGCAAGATAGTGGCAAAAGCCTCCACGACGACCTGAGGTCCCAGACACTCATTGACCTGAACAGGGCAGGTAGGCTTAAAGTTTTTCATTGCTTCTCCCTCTGGCTCCCTCGGTTCCTGGATTTTAGGCGCCTCTCTTCCTTTCTAGAGTTTTCCCAAACCGACTGAAAGCAGACACAGGCATCTGACAGAAGATCAAAGTATCTGTTAGTATTGTCAGAGCCCATGAGAGCGCGCAGCTTGGACTGTGATCTCAGATCAGACAGCCTTAGCCACCTGGCCTCAGATCCAATAGCTGGGTATTTCAAGTAAACATTAAAACAAATGAGCCAAAGTTAAGAATCAAAAAGTAGAGAGGAGAGAAACGATGTCAAGGCCAGAAACACCTTAAGAGTCCCTCAGTAATTCAGGCTTTTCCTGGGGCTTAATCTGCTGGGGACACTGGCAGGCCCCAGTCAGGCTGACTCTGTCTTTCTGGTAGGAGTTGGCCTTTTGGAAGTGGTCCTGGAGCCTGACCTGTCCTGTGGAGAAGAGGCAGCCACGGTTGTCAGGGAGCTGCAGCTGATACTTCAAGCCCTGGGGACCAGCCAAGCAAACATGGCAGGTAGAAGCCCAGGGGAGTGGCCTTCCCGTGGTACTTTCTACTCCCCAGGTCACTTTGGACCTGACTTTTACTCTGCCGTCTGTTATGTTGAAGTTGTTTACATCTGTTTTCATCCCTTTCCACTCCAGCTTTTTTCCCCCTTTAGAATTTTTCTTGGCTTCCTTTCTGAGCCCTGAACCAAATAAAAACACTAATAGCAGTGCAGAGACCCTGAACCGAAGAATGTGAGTTATCTAGGACCCTAGATACCTTCCCTCTTCTTCTCACGTCAAAACTGTGGGGATTCAAAATAATGTGTCTGAGCATTAATCTTTCTCAGAAAGAAGGCACTATTCTTCAAGAATAGTTCTTAGTTTGTGAGTTCTCTATAACAGATAACTAGTTGCTACTTTTCGAATATCTGTTTCTTTTCTTTTGTAAAATTTTCATCCATGAAATGTGGACTACCCTGATTTGGCTATTACACAGTATACACATGTATTGAGTTATCATGTGTATCCCATACATTTGTACAGTTAAATTGATAATTAAAAATAGAGCTTTCATCCATGTGCAGCTGGAGTCAAATTATATTGGCTGTAAGCCAAGATTATGATTACATAAATTTCATCCTGAAATCAAATCTTAAATTCAATAGATGTAAAGTAAGAAACCGAAAGCCAAAGAAACACTTGTACTCTTGGGAACCAAGCAGATTAAACATTTTAGATATTTGTAGATTGTACGTAAAATCACAAGTTTGGTCAAATTCAGTGTCTTCGGGGCTTTGGTGCTTGTCCAGGGCTCTTCTGTCTTCCCTTAAGCCCCTAAAAGCTAATCTCTCCCGTGGTCCTTTCTTATTTTCTGTTCTCCCAGGCTTTTTAACGATTTCCACCATCCTCGCAGCACCCAAGTCTGAATTTACAGTTGTGTGCTTCATGGCACGCACAGCAGAGAGGTCACTGTGGGTGCCTGGTGGGTCCCACTGGAAGTGGCCATCTTCCTGCCCTCTCATAGTACCGTGGGCACCCTTATCATGTCACATCGTCTGTTTGCATGTTACAGAGGGACTTCTGAATTGGTGATGCCACATCTGTCACTTGCAGAATGTTTTACAAGCAACAAATTATAACATCAAAACCCTGGTGCAAGTTGAATGTGAAGACAACTTGCTTATTTGCTATTGTCTTCTTTAAAGACTTAAAAGATATAGCCATATGAGTTTGAGGGACATAAAGGGTAGCTGCCTACAAGTTTCCTTCGTAGAAATGAGACTGTTACAGAAAGAGAATTCTCCAATCTCCGCTTATCACTCGTGCTGCTTTTTTATGCACAGAACATAAATTAAATATAGAAAGGTTGGATGGTTATCCATTAATGCACTAAGCATTGATTCTCTATCACTTTAAAAGTTTTTATTATTTCATTCTTATTCAGAATCACTGTGATTCCTGCAAACCCTGTGGAATAATAAACAAGCCACCTGTTAGCTGAGAAACAGTCCCATCTGGGTCTTTGCCAGGAGATAAACCATAATGGCAAGATCTCATGAGTCAGTGACAGCTGAGAGCGTTCATTAAATCTCATTTGTTGTGACACTTTTTGTTTCTCTTAAACACAAATCCAGCCTCTTTGCTTCCAGCACACAGCCGAGTGGCTCTGGTTGTTCTGCAGTGCAGGGGAGCTGAGGCTGCCCGAGTCTGCAGGAGTCCGCTTCTCCATGCCGTTCACATTTTATCAGCCGACTCCTTTGCTTACCCTTCTTTCCACCACCATGGGGCTGCTGTGTCAGCCTGGAAACTGAGGTCACTAAAAAGTGGCCGTGAAGACTAGTGGACACGGTACTTGTTGAGTGCAGCATAATTTGTTCTGTGCTGCGATTTGTTGAGTTCCCAGTGGATTTGCGAATGAGCGTGGACCCGCTGAGCCCAGATTCCAAGTCATTTTCTCCTCGGTGGACAGCATTTTGCCACTGTTGAGGTCCTCAGAGCAGTGTGTTGTTGAAAGTAGGCAGAAGTAGGCCTCCTAAGTGTTCCAGCGCTAGTCATAGCTGTCAGTTGGAACATGTATGTGCTTGTCAGCTCACTGAACATTTTTAAAAACTGCTTTATCTTCTCAAGCATTACAGCTATTCCTGAGAAACAGGTGGTATCCTACCTGTTGTACAGGTGAGGCAGCTGAGGCTCAGGTGGGCTGGATTAGTTGCCCGAGGTTCGCAAGAAGCACTTGAGCTAGGATTCGAGGCCAGGTGTGTCTGACTCCAGGCGCACTTTCTCTAAGCACAGAGTCTTCCGCTTCCTCGCCGGATTGTGACTGCCGTGACACCCACTTGGTAAGGCCGATTACAGCCTATGACCCAGTGCCGAAGACTCTCAGTTCACAGACATGGGTTGAAGTCCTGTCCTGTGACCGCCAGTAGTCGAAACCTGGGCAAATTATTTGATTTCTCTGAGCCTCACTTTCCACACTTAACAAAGAAGACTCCAAATAATTGTGGGAGGAGAAAGGGAGAAGCCAAAAAGCAAAAGAAATCATCAGAGTCACCAGGTAGAGTTGGGGCAACTACATGAGATGCATGACTTTGGGCAAGAAAGTTTGGAATTTTGGAAATGCCAAGTTTGCCTTGGGGGATGATGTCCAGGTGGCTTTGTCCTTAAAGCTGCATTGTGGGCAGTGAGTGTAATAATATATATAGGACAGCACAGGGCCTGGCAAAAAGCCTGTGCTGGATAAATGTTTTTATTAGCAGTGATAAGTAGGATAGAATTGCTTTTACAGCATCACCACTCATTTGGATGAATACGCATTGTGAAATGTGTTTGATAACATTTGCTCCCTTTCAGCTCCGGAAGAAGCTCAGTGGTAGAACACTAAGCTGGCATGCGTGAGGTACCGCACTGGGTTCCATCCCCCGCACTGCAAAACAAAGGAGATTACTTTTTTTTGTTGTTTTTCTTACTAAGTTTCGCTGAGTATTGAGGAGCCAGAGTGAGATAGCTCAGCAGACCTTCCTACCAAAGCCTCAAGCCCCTGCTGTTACAGAAACAGTTTTCTACCTTGATATTTTATTTCTGTTGTGTGAATGGGTTTTAGAAAAAAAAACATGTAACTGCACTCTGTCACTGTACTCAGCGGTATAATGTTTAAGTTTTGTTGTTAGAAATCTTGGCTTCTAGAAGACAAATTGAGCCGGGTAAGGTTTTCGTGAGGTGTGGACATGGCGCGCGGAGCAGACCTGACTCAAAAGGCTTTCATGCACTTGGAGTAATTTAACTTAATTTGTTTAAAAGGTATTTTGTCTTCACTGGGTAGAGTGTCTTTTGTTAATGTTTGAATCTGTATTTGAATCCAGGCTGGCAAGCCCTCTTTCAACACTGCGGGGCACTAAATGATTCCTCTCAGACATTTATATAGTGTGGTCTTCTGTGGAAGAGACTAAAATTCATGGTTTTATTACTCTTCCCAATTAGAATGCTAAATTGTGAGAGATGGTTTCCTTTTTATAAGCAAGTGAGTAATTCAGGGTTCCCTGTGTTCAGGGGGGAAAAAGTTGTCTCTCAAATGTGGAGATTTGGTTGCACAAAGCTCAGCATACTTTGAGTGTTCCTCTGAGTGTAGTGGGCCTTTTAGACGATCCCAACTGCAGATTAGTCCTCGTTAGGCAGAAATGTAGAAGCCATCAGGAAGCTGCTGTGAGATGGAAACCAGGCTACCTACTCCTTGCTCAGGAATATACCAGCCCCGGCGTCTATTTTTCTAACAATCACCATGCGCCAGGCTCAGCTGTAGGTTCGGAGAAACACTTTGTTCCTGCCACACAGAGCTTGAGAAAGACCAGTACGTATAAACAGATGAGCAGTAATTATAGTGACGCGCGCTTCTGGGGAGCGCATAGGTGCTGACACCTTGCTCGGCAGGTGACAGTGGGGCTCTCTGGGGCCTCTCAGAAGTGCTGGCATCCAGGGCAGACATGAAGAATGGCTGAAGGCCCTGCCAGCACGGAACCGGGTGACGCCTGAGTTGAGAAGAGGTCTGCGCATGCTCTGCAGGCACCGAGGTGACACGAGCCACTGCAGAGAAAACGTAAACAGCTGTGGCGTCAGATATTTACTTGTTTTGACTCCCTTGCGTGCTTTTGAGAGTGTTCTCAAAAAAGTTTATTTCATTTTACTTTTTGTGTGAGTTATTTTTAATATTTTCATGTAGATGTTTCATAATATTTTACTTGTAGGGAAATGGATTGCGATGGCACTTCCTAATTCAGAGTAGGTAGGGTGTATGGGGGAAGATGTACAATTCTTTGATTGAAATTATTTCTCACTGAGCTAAACTTTGTTTCATGGAAAAAATAAATGTTCTACCCCACTGTGGAGGGGGTGCATAGAGGTGGGCGAGTGACAGACGACAGGTGATACCAGGAAGTTTAGGTCTCAGTCCAAGCGCTGCAGTAATCACTGAAAGGGCCTTCAGCAGGGAATGATGTAGTCTTAATAATGTTGTGCCTGCCTGTGGGAGGCGGCTTCCGGAAGGATGAGATGAGAAAAGCATGGAAAGCATTTGAGAGGTGCTTGCAGTAGTTCGGAGAGAAGGTGACACTGAGTGACAGTGGCAGTGGTGGTGGAGAGGTGGGAGATTAAAGTGGTTTGTAGAAGAAGAGGATTTGTAGCAGACAGGTGCGGAGGGAGGATGCCTCCGGAAGTTTGAGGAACTAGATGGTGGTGGGAATGGCTCTGTGAAGGGCCAGTCGGGGTGCCGTTTTGGAGCCTGAAATGTTGCCTGCTGTGGAGTTCAGAGGAGAGGGCTGGGCTGAAGAGAGAAATTTTGGTGTCAGGAGCACATCGGTTGTTAGGTTGAGTTTGGATGGAAAAGAAAGCACTAGACAACGACATGGAAGTAGAGAACCCAGGATGAAAACAAGAGAGTGTGGTAAGGCCGCAGAAGGTGTCATGGAGGTGTCCTGCGTCCCTCAGCTTGGCAGCCAGGCGCTTGCCGGTGCCCCTTATGGGGGCATTGTTGGCGGGGGCAGAATCCAGGCTGGAGTGGGTTTAGGAGTAAATGGGAAGTGAGATAGTGGATACAGTGTGGGCAACAAAGAAAACTTGTTTAAGAGGATTGGCTGAGAAGGAAGCAGGAACACCCGCTGGATGACTGATGTGATAAGACCTGGGCTTCGGGGAGTAGGTGTTTGGGCTTGGCTTTGTTCTCCTAATGAGAAATGCTGTTGCTTATGGACACAGCCGGGGGATGCTGAGAAGACGGACGACTGGTGCGGGAGAGGACAAGGGGGCATTTGCAGCCTGGGCTCTCCCCAGGGCCCTGATCTTGGCCAAGAGATGAGGTTGCTTCCTGTCTCAGTCCCGTGGGTGCGCGTGTGGATGAGGGACTGTCGTAGAAGGTGGTAACACTTACCGTGGGACCCTGAGGGATGAGCAGAGGGGCAGCAAGGCGTCGGCGGAGTAGACAGGGAGCCACGCGCACTGGTCCTTTCACCCGAAGGCAGCCTTCCCATGGGGTACGGAGTGGAGAACTGCGGGAGTAAGTGCAGGTCGCGTCTGAGGGTCGGGCGATGCCATGGGAGCTGCCATCGTGCAAGTGAGCTATGGGAATAGCAGAAGCCGGGTCACAGCAGGGTGAGAGTCAGAGCCAGCTGTGGCGCTGAACAGGGCCCTCTGTGCAGAGAGTAGGGTCTGGGGTCCCCCGGCCTGGTTCCCAGGTTCCTAGACCTGGGCTGCGGGTGGCAGCAGTGAAAATGAGCAGGAGCGCTGGATCCGAGGTGTTGGGAGGGAAGGCCCAGTAGCGTCTGCACACAGGTCCGGCACAGAAGACGGTGGAAGGGTAATAGCACAGCCTCAGAGCTGAGCGGTGTCTGAGAGGTGTTTGGAGCCACCGCTCGTCTGAACTGTGACGGACGGCGAAGGGGCAGGCTCGGACTTGGTGTCACTGTGAGCCCCATAGCTCAGCCCTGGGTGGGCGACAGAGGACCCACTCCAAGGGGCCTTTCTTGGCATGGAATGGATGTATGCTTTTTTATTTTAATATGCTTTTGTTGTAGAACCTTGGAAAGTGAATTTATTTGGCCCATCCAAACACTTAGGTTTGATAGGTTACGTCTTAATTTAAAAGAGGAGGAACCTACATAGGCAAGTAAAGTCCAACATTGTCTTCTCATTCTGTTCCAAGTGCTACAGATGAAATTCGGGAACAGAGAATCTGAACTTTACTCCATAAGGTGTGAAACGTGATGATTTCTTTTTTCTGGCTACCTGTCCTGGGATTTTTACTCCCTGGGTGCTTGCAGCTCCTGATCTGGAGGGACTTTCGGGGACAGGGACATTCCCCCAGCACAGGGTCAGCGCCTCGTTCCCACCACTGAGTCCCCGCTTCCTGTCTTCTGCTGCAGCAAACCCTCACAGCACTCAGGCAGGATCTGGACTCGTGTGTGGAAGGAAGAGATGATCACAGTCCAGGACCTGCGGGGAGGAGGAGGGGCAGAGCCCAGGATTCAGCTCTGGCCCTTGAGCCATAAATTCTCAGGACTGTCTGTAAATCTCCTGGAGTCCACATTAGACACCCACATTCCATGGAGAGCTCTGGGGGGTTCCTGCAGTCATTCTAGAGGCTCACCCAACCTCCACTCTGGTTTTGACATTTTGTAAAAAAAAACCTTCAGCATAGAACCGCAGAGTAAATCTCCATCCTAAAAGTATTTTTCTTATTTCTCACAAAAGGGGTTCGATTCAGCTGGTAAATCTAAAATGTTTCTCCTGTATGTACAGGACACACATGTGTACCCACACACGCATAAACACGGAGGTGCCCTGGGCCTCTGACCGCTCTCGAGCGACAGGGGACTGGCTGTGTGCTTCAGGACCAGGCTTGCTACCCCTAGGGCCAGTGGCTGTCACTGGACGGCATGGCAGGTACAGCTTACCTTGACTCTTCCCGCCTTAAAAAGACCCCGCTGCCTCAAGGATTTTCTCCTCTTTCTCTCCCTCCAGAGGGCCAGCTGAGAGTGGACGCAAATATATCCGTGCATCACCCCGGGGAGCCCCTCGGCATCCGCACAGAGGTGAAGAACCTCAACAGCATCAGGTTCTTGGCCAGAGCCATAGGTGAGTGTCCGCTGTCACTGCTCCTATTCTTTTCTGTCAGTCATCACTTGTCGCCTGCCTGAATTCGGTGACTGACGGAGCAACCGCTTCAGCTTTGACAACGCTGGCTCTTTTTCGGGTAATGCCTTTGCTCGCTGCTGCAGCTGGGGGAAGCTGACAGGCCCACAGAAACAGGTCAGAGGAGGTCTCGTTCACGTGCCCTCCTGTCCACGAGGCTTCCCTGCCCACGCGGCCCTTGCCCCGTCCCCTGCCTCACCCAGGCTTCTTAGCTGCTGGTGAGCACGTCTGGGAGAAAGGAGACGGAAGCCACACGCCTGCCTGAGTCCTAATCTGCACAACTCACACGCTGTCACCTCCAGCACATCCCGTTCAAAGCAGGCTTGAGGGGAGAGAAATACACTCTGGCTCTTCACGGAGGATTCACGGAATGTTGCTTCTGTGTTTTGCCATGTGCTGCATTCCTTATAAAGTCAAATTTGTTCAGTTCCTGCTTGAACTTGTTGAGGTTGTATCTGTTTAAGTTGGAAATTGCATGGCCCAATTGGCCAGTATGTTTCTCGGTTTTGTACTCTTTTCACCTAAAAGATTGTATGTGCCTGTGCAGTCGGAATCGGTCTTACTGGAGCCCCGTACTGTGCTCATGGATGACAAATATGTAAGGAAGATGGAACAGTTTAGCAGGCTAAATATCTGAGCAATCCCTTAGAAACCGGTAACTGACTCTGAGGGGAGGTCATCTCAGGTCTAAAAACATTAAAAACTATAACAACAAACACCACAGATTCCGAGAGAGAGAAAGAGGCAGGGACGGAGTGTAAAGTGTGTCCCTCCAAGAAAGTACAAAGATCTAGATAGCTGGACATGTTTCCAGAGCACTGCTATAGTCAGAATGTTTAGTAGAATCCTGGGTCTGGCCAAGAATAGTTCTAGAAACAGTTCAGAAAAGATGATGCTGGTCTGGTGTAAGATCTCATTATCCCGACCCGAAATGATCAGGCTTGGTGAAGTCACTTTGTAGTGTACAGAGGTCCAGGAGAAAAACACCATACAATGGTCAAGGAGGTCATTTCTGGGAAGGGGAAGGGAGCGTTGCCTTGCAAAGACAGACTGAAGAGGGGACTCCTCTGTCTGGGGGAAGATGCAGCTGCACTTCTGATACCATGAAGTTGTGGATTGGGCCCTGTGCTGGTGGCCTGTGTGTGAGGGGAAGCTTGGAACAGAAAGCTGCGTGTTTCGCTTCCCCCCGGTGCAGTGGGGTCCAGGGCCCGTCATTCTAAAGCATGGGGGTGACCTAGGAAAAGGACGAACAAGCAGATTTTAAGTAGACTGAGTGGCGGTGAGTTAACGCCTTTGGCAGCCCTGATACCCTTCCATGCAGCAGTCGGTTCCGCCTGTGGTCTCCGACTCAGCCGGAGGAGCCAGCGCTTCCACGGCCTGGGCTTCTTTCTCCAAGGCCGCCATTTTCCACCGGCTTTTTCTCCCTATGTTGGACCTTGCCGCCATCATCTCACATCAGAGCTTTGGAGTAGAGGAGTGAGAGCCAAAAGTAGACGTGTTTGGTGTTACCGCCATCTTAACTACTTAGACAGCTTGGATTTGAGCAAGGGAAGGTGGTGCGTGGCAGGGTGGGGAGTTAGAGGGGAGATTTATTTTCCTAAAAGAGCTTAGCGGTATACAAGACATGGACGTGGGCCCGCTTGCTAAAATCCGCATTTCATCTATAACTTGGATAGCAGAGCCCTTCACAGCCTGTCCGCAGATCTCAGGGTACAGATCCCTGCTGGCAACAGTCCTAGGTCTGTAGTCATCCAACCCACATACGGGTCCGAGCCTGATGTCTACCAAGTTGTGTAATCTGTACCAGGTGGCTTCATCTCTCCAAACCTGAGTTTTCTCCAAAAACTTAGGGCCGTTTCCAGCATCAGTGTTCCGTGACGGCAGTGAGAAGAAAATACAGCATGCAAGGGAAGGATTATTCTACACAATCTTCTTGATTTTTCTTTGACTTTAAGATTGAGAAAGGTTTCCCATTATTGCCTGAATTGATTAAGGATATAATCAGAGTATGGTACTGAATTATTGTGTCTCTTGTAGACTATGAAATTCAGAGGCAGATCAATGAACTTGAGAATGGAGGTGAAATTCTGAATGAAACTCGCTCATTTGATTGCAAGCTGGGGTGAGTTTGCCTTCCTATGCACCCTGAGTACAGTGGGGGGCACAAGAAGTCTGGGCATGGCCCCAGACCAGTGATGTGGCTGAAAGGACTCCCAAGCTTCCCCACACTTGGCTTTCCTCTTTAGCAAAGAGCACTGTAGCCCACAGGGCTATAATATGCCCTCTCTGCTCCCAGAGATGTAAATGGACCCAGCCTTGTTCAGAAGTGCTTGGCTGTCATCCTAGACCTCCCTTACCTCCAGCTTGCCTGCTTTGTAACAGGAATTTTTACTTTTAAGTAATCTCTCAGACCTGTACCAGCTTAGGCTAGAAGGAGGTAGAGCTGAAACTCAGTTGTAGGGATGCTTCTTTGTATGTTTCGAGCTAGCTTTCACCTTGATTTTCTGACTCAGTTCTGAGGATTGTATTTCTCAAGCAGAATATTACTGAAAACTCCAGAGTGTAAAAGCTTGAGTGAAAACTCAGCTGGAATGTAACTCAGTGGTAGAGCTCTTCCTAGCACATGTGAGGCCCTGGGTTCCATCTCCAACACCATAACAAAAAAGGAAACAGTAAAGTAATTTTTAAATTTCTCTTTTTCTTATATTGTATTTCTATATCATCCATGGAAAGCTAAAGAACTTGAATTTGCCTGTGTCCCTTATTGGCAGAGGAAACCCTTTTAATCAGTTTTCACTATAGAGACAGCTATCTTGGCTAAACAACATACAAAGAGAAGAGGTTTGTTTGGCCTCACACACACAGTGTTAGTGGTTTTGGGCCTGTGATGGTACAGCGTGGTGGGGAAGAGGGAGAGAGACCAGGGTGCCACAGTCCCCTTCAAGCACGTGCTCCAGCAACCCACGAGCGTCCCGCCAGCACCACCTCATAAAGTACCACCTCCCAGTAGCACCTTGAGGAAAGACTCCAGATCCAAACTCTAGTGTGCCCCTTGTCTGCCTGTTCGCCGGAAACGTCTGCTTAATATTTTCTTCTGTAACTATTACAGTTGCACCGTGCCAATGAGAGACAAGGAAGGAAAACAAGACTACAGGTGATCACTTCTCGTGTCAAGATGTCATTGCCTACTGTGGGTTATGGGTGTATTTCAGATCCACTTAGAGATCATAATGATCCTGGAGACCTCTTACGAACCACTTTTTATTGTTATTATGTGATGGGAAACTGAGACTTCCTGTTTTGTGTGCATACTGGGAATCGTGAGCCTCAGAATCCTTTGATGGGATTCAACTGTTGCAGACCCTTGTTCACTCACTTCGGTGTCAAAGCTGTAGCTGGGCTAAGAGGATGCCGGTAGAGGTCAGTGTCCTGGCCTTTCTGGTTCTTGCATTCTGCAGCAAATTCTGCAGTGCCCTGCAGCCCCCGAGAGGAAATGAAAAGCGTGTCCGTATATGTTAAGGGCAGTTCCCTCCAGACCTCAGGGAGTGTTTCTTCACCGACAAAGTAAACAAGTTGAAATTAACAGGGGACCTTCGAAGAAAGCCATTAGGAAGATGGGCTTGAGATAAATGGAGCCCTTTGCCTTGTCCACTGATTAGCAGATTGCAAAGATGGACGCTTTAAGCAGTGAAGTTGCTGACGTGAGCCCACTTTTCCTCTGCAAGTGCAGGAGCTGCTCAAGCAGTTGTTGCTGTCAGGAGCACATAGCCCTCACCCCAAGAACCCCTGTCATGTCTGTGTCGAAGTCAGGGTTGGTCACCGTGAGCTTCTAGGTTCAGGCTGTGTCTGGTAGGAGCTTCCTTTGTCCCTCAGCGTCACTCCCTGCTGTATTTTTGCTGCTTTCTCATGGAGCATGGACTTTGCCTTTTAATTCAGCCAGTGGCTTCTGCTCCGTCCTTCAAGTTGGCTGTTTTAGGAAGTCTCCTTTACATTTCCTCTTATCAGAAGTAAGACTGCTTTATGGCAGGGGTTGGGCAGTGAGTTGATGAGTTGTTTGCCCTTCCAGTCTGTTACCTCTGAGTGACTTTAGATTTACAGCAAAATTCAGTGGAAAGTCGAGCTCTGATATACTCATTCCTCCTGTCCAACACAGCACCCTTTGTTAACATCTTGGATGTGTGTGGTCGTTTTGTTACCGTAACGAGCTGGTACTGATAGCTCATTATTCACTGAAGTCTGTAGTTCACATTAGGGTCCACCCTTAGTGTCATGCATTCTGTGCGTTTTGCTGTATGTGTAACAACACACATGCACCGTGATGGTGTCACACAGAATTGTTTCACTCCCCTAAAATGCCCTATGCCCCACCTGCACATCCCTTCCCGCTAGTTTCCACATTTTTAGGCAGAATTCATGCGTGCTTATACCTCTCAAGAAAGAAAGTTTGGGTTTTTTCGTTTGACCTTTTGTTTGCTACACAAACACTCCAAAAAGTAAGAATTAAAAGACGGGAAAGTCACTTTTCTCCCTAACACATCAGCTGTTCTCATTGGGTCCTGCCGTTTCCAGCCTATGTCTTTGTGAATCTTCACTTTATCCACAGTAGTGTATCAGCATGTGGTTCAGCCCTGTGTTACACTTACTTCACTCACCACTGCTTCAGAAGCGTGGGCAGTGGCGGTTTGGTGACTTAGACCCTTAGCAAGCCCTGTACACACAGACTTTCTTGGGAAACAGAAAAGTGACATAATAGGCCATGCAAAACATTTGCAAGTAACAGAGCATCGAAGCCCGGAAACATTCGTATCAGATTTAGCCATGTGATTCTGATCTGATCTGCCCAGGTTCTGATCACCGGACTCAAGTCCTGTCTGCTCTCTGCCCAGGTTTATGCCAGAGCCCAACCTGCCTCCCCTGGTGCTCTACGACACAGCATCTCTGCCCGCGAGAGCACAGCCTCAGCAAGTGATCAACATCGACCAGATTCGGGAGGCGCTGCCCGAGCTCCCCAGCGTGACGCGAGAGCGGCTGGTGCAGCGGTACGGGATGCTGCCGGAGCACAGCTTCATGCTGCTGGTGGGTGCCCAGGGGAAGGCAGCGGAGGAGGGGCGGATTCTTCCTGCTACTGTAGAGGCCTCAGAAGAATGAGGCACAGTAACCCCTGGCAGTGCGTGTTCCTCATAAGACCAGAGGAGGAGGCGCCACTTCACATCAGCCATTTCTCTGGTGTAGCAGCGAAGGCTGCACACAGCAGCCGTGGAGGTGGAAGTCGGTCCAGATGTTATGGATGAGTGTGTTCCCAGGTGTCTGCAGGACGGAAGAAAATCAGTGCGTGGGTTTCTAGATGTCTAACAGTATCCAGCCGTGACAGGGTCTGGCAGGATGTTAGGTTCACAAACTGCCCAGTTGTTTCACCATGTGTGGAAGGAAACATCTCTCCCAGACGATACTGCAGACTGACGAAAAGAATCCGTCTTTTGAAGCTTGAGGGTGCACCTGACGGGGCCGTTAGAAAACCTGACTCTACTGAAATCTGCTTAGGGATTTTCCATCCTTTTCAAAGCTGGGCTTTGTGGGTTTCTTTGTCATAGCAACATGAAAGTGGTGCCACATCAGTGAGTGCAGCATTTGGTCCCAGTTGTCGTCTTGTCTGTGAAGGGAGGAAGTGGAAAGCTTTGCAGCTGTAGCTCAGGGAGTAGGTCTAGGCCCCAGGCATCTTTTGGACCAGCAGAATCTGTGGGAACAGGGGTTTTGCTTCTTGTGAGACCGGGAATAACTACAGGGGGATGGGGAGACACGCGTGTTAACGATGTTTATGCACGTCAGTAACAGCAGCCTAGCAGTGTACAGTAAGGAGAGCAGCTCACTGATGATGAGGGATGAGGAGCATCCAGAGCGCCTCACAGGAAAACTCTTTGTCCCAGTGATGGTTGGGAATCATCCCACTTTCTGATACTTTACCGTGCTCACCGCCTCCCGTGGTCTCCCCGTGCCTCAGCGGTCCATCTTTGCAGTCCTCTCAGTGCACCGCAGTGACTTCCGGTGTCTTGAGGGCAGCCCTGTTTCTGTCACGCTGCACAGATGAGCGTAGCAGTATTCTTAACGCCGCTCTCTGACAGTAGGGATCCATCACTCTGTTCCTGCACAGAACAGCTCTTAACCTGAGCCTCTTCCACCTCGTGCGCTCTTCCAGTCTGATAGAACAAACCTGCGTTTCAGTCCAACACATCTTCCCTACCATCTTTGGTTGAATTTCCAGCCCACTTGCAGGAAGTGCTGAACCCGAGACCTGTGCTTCCTTACCGTGGGCCAGCCGAGATAGGGATGGCAAGATGTGGCCCAAGACTGCTAGGCGCCACAGAAACTTACTGCTTTCCCCGGGCCTTAAGCCAGTCCTATGAGGTAGCGTGCGATGAAATGGTTCCTTGGCCATTTCTTTCTGCAAGGCTGTGACTGAGAGAAGAAGCCACTGTATATAATGGTCTAAGTCCTTTATATATACCATCCTTCTCTGCGAGAGAAGAGAAAGGACCATGTCAGATCTCCCTCAAAAACAAGGCAGTTTTAGTGTCTGAATATATTTGCATCCTCAGAGAACACCTCTGTGAGATTGTCGCACTCCAGGCCACGATGAGCGTGTTCTGGGCCGGCATCTGGCACAGTCACGTTTGTGTCCTGTCGTTGTTCATGTCTGTGAAGGGGGAAGTGGAAAGCTTCCTTTGAGAGGCCAAAACCCAGCGGGCTTTGAGCAGGTGTTGGTTAAACGGTGGACACGGGTGCGTGTGTGTTTTAACGGTTCATGTAGGAAAACCTGGTAGTGTTCAGCACTTTCATTAGCCTCTCCTGTGAAGCAGGTATGGAGACAGAGACAGCCTCTTTTGGTTTTGTTTTTAAGATTTTTGTTTCTGCCTTCCTAGAGCTTGTGTACACAGGCGATACCACAGCTCGTCAGCCCCGCGGACAGATTGTCATAGAGATAGTATGGGAGCCCAGAGGAGGTGCAGTTGACTCTGAGGGGACAACCAAAGGGGGCTTCAAGAAGGAGGTGATGTTTTAAGCTATCTTTTTAAACGATTTACTCTTGGGTACCTGAAATGCATGTTTATTTTTATAGATTACAGATAATGTATTAGGTAATTCGTTTTGTTTTTTTTTTAAAGGACTAGTGCTTGAAATTTTCAAGATAAATGAGATTAGAACAAGATAGGAACAGGCAGAGAATGATTCGGACAAATTGTTTTCCCGAAATGAGGCAGCCTGGGCCCTTTATGATTCCGTAATCATTGGAAGCTGAGTTACTCATAACATTCCCGAAGATGATACGTTCATGTTTTTCCCCGTCCTCATCAGAAACACAGCAGATTGCTGAGAAGGACAGGTGCACAAATCTAATGAACCATCTTGCAATTTAAAGAGTGCCCAGGAGGATTCATTAAATAAATAGCAGCGGTGGAGGTGTGCTGTGCAGAGCCGGGCTCCTGCTCCACGCCTCCGGGCCGCCTACCTTCATTAAGCGGCGGGCACAGACCCCCCACACACACACACGCCTCCCCCGACAGGACAGGCTTCAGGACGAGCTCACCTTTGTCTTGGCATTGTGTTGTGCAGTAAGCAGCAAATCGTTCTGGTTACCACAATCTTTGATATTGAAAGAACCCTGACATAGCAGGCCTTCAGTGACTGGGTGGACAGATGAGTGAAGGGCAGAAAACTGCAAGTTTGTTCGGTTTTTGTTTCTGTTTCTGTTTCTGTCTGCTGGGGACTGAATTCAGTCATGAATATGCAAGACAGGCACTCCAACACTGAGCTACATTCCCAGCCTGTTTAATTTTGTAAGACAGGGACTTGCTAAGTTGTGCAGGTTGGCCTCAAACCCATACTGCTCGTGCCTCAGCCTCCACACCATGAGCTACTATACCTGGTTTAGAAAGCAACAACAAACAAAAAATCCATATTGCTGGGTTTTTTTAAATTTTTTTTTCTGTTCTTATAAGTATCTTGCCCAGTCTTGGACTTTAACCTATTTAGCTAGTCTTTCTTTCCTATCCAGTGTCAAATTGCCTTGCTTTCTGACCTCATCTGTAAAGATTAAGGGATGGAAACACGGAAGCTGAGATCTGAGGTTCTGACAAAGGAGGGAGTCTGATAATATAACAAGTCCTTCTCAGAGCTGGTGAGCTAGAAGTGATTATTAGAATGGTCAGTATCGTACATATGTACATTTTCCTCCGCAGATGCGTCCCAGGCTGTTTTCTATGAGGACGTCTCTCCCCGAACTTGTGTCTTATTTCAGAGACCACAAAGAACCATAGCCTTTGTCTAAGCAGCACTTCCCAGGGTGTCTTGCCTCCTTCCAGCACGCTCCCAACTTCACGGTGTGCCCCGCCCCCTTCTTTGCGGCGGTATTGGGGATTGAACCCAGAGCCTCCAAACTGACCTGCATACCCAGTCCGTTTTCATTTTTTTTGTTCGAGGCAGGGTCTCAAGCTCTAAGTTGCCCAGGCCAGGATCGAGCCTGGTGGTCCTCCTGCCTCAGCCACCCAGAGTCCTGGGATTACAGGCGTGTGCCATCTTGCCCTATGCCACCTGCCACTTTAGCGTATCCTTACGACAGCCCAGGAGTTGTCGCTCTCCCCTGGTCACCTGTGAGGAAATGTAATCTCCTGGGTTAAGGAACTCTTCCCACGCCTGTGGTGAAGCCAAGTTCACTCACACTGACTTCAGGGACCAGGCCCTTTGCTCCTGAACCGTGCTGCCTGGTTGCATATAATGTGCTACAGTGCCAAATGAAATGATGTTTTTAGTTAATGACTGTTGGGATCTCTTTCATTTCAAAGTTTTTATTTTGCTAACATTAATCCTTTATACATTCCCACAAATGAATGTTTTGTTAGAGGCACAGTGGCTCCTTCGACCTGAATCACTGAGAAGAGTCTCCATCTGGGGAGCTCGGGTTGTGGGGTGATTTGGCTGGGACCCCCTTTTCATCCAGCCTGGCTCATCAGAAGCACTCGGTAAGGACCGGACATGAGCTCCCAGGAGACCTGACCGTGCTCGAAGTCAGTAGATGGAAAGATCTGCATCCCCTCTTGCGTGGGAGGTTTCGGTGGGCAGCCCCCGTGTAGTGTTTCCTCGGGGCTCGCCGCACTTCCCACGGGGCGCCGTCCTGCTGGGAAACAAGCCTTTCAGCCCAGCCGTGTTGCTTTGGATGTTCTCTGAGAGCCCTCACAGGGAGATGCTCTTGGTTCCTGCTTGGGAACTTGGAGACCCCTCTAAGGTAACCAAAGCTGTTCCCCTCGCTGGCTGGAAGAAGAGGATGATGCACCCCAAATATGGGGGACATAGCGGAATCTGCATAGAATGTGAGAAAGCTAAATATGTGCTCCCAGGGAGAAGGGTCGTGATACCAAGCGACATAAAACACAGTTCAAGGCCCGGGATTTAGCTCAGTGGTGCTGTGCCTGCCTCACAAGCACAAGGTCCTGCGTTCAATCCCCAGTACTGAAAATACACACGCACACGCACACGCACAGAGTTCAGAGAGCCGCACAAGGCAGAAGTGTAGAAAAACCCAGTCTGGCTGCAGGAAAACATGACTGTGAACTCCTGAATCAGTAACCTGTGCTGCCTTGGCTGTGCGCCAGTCTTTGTATTCAGCCTGGAGATGCGTTGTGTTGTTTAAACAACTTCATTTTCTCCAGCTGGTTCTTCCTCATTGAAAGGCGTAACCCTTTGTTTTTGACATCATAGAAAAGGTTAAGATTTCTCCAGGGGACAAAGAAACAGAAAAGCTATCATGACTACAGTTGGTTGTTAAATGGATTATTTTTCAACAATTTTCCTGTAAGTCTTGTGAGCTAGAAATGGCCTGGTTTTGCTTTCTGGATGAATTGTCTATAAAACAGTTTCCTGTGATAAATATCTGTACATCCCATATGTAGTATACTTGAAAGCTGATAGTTGAAATAGCGTCTGAAACTATATTGACTGGTTTCAGATGGCCCAGACTTGCCAAGGTGCAAAGTTCTATAGTCACATTCTAACTACTGTTGAAGGAAAAACCGTTGGTTCAACACTGTCACCAGCCATATTTCACCTCCCTGCAATTTTCAAAATTGATTTTATTCATTTTACAAATTGCATCCAGGGCTTGCCAACTTAAGGGTGCTTTCTACAGTTAACGTACACACTGGAAAAGTAACCAAAATCTTGTTCTGGTAAAGCTAAATAAAAAGATGCTTCTTGTGACTCTATCCCTGCAGAAGCAGCGCTTCAGTTCTTCAGGTGTGAGTGACACACACAGCTGTCTGACCCTCCAGAACTGCCCCTGGCGGGGAAGTGCAGGGCAGAGTGAGGTCCTGAGTACCCAGCCTTGGGAGCCAAGCTGGTTCTGTCCCTACAAATCCTAAAGCCAGATTCCATACTTTGTGAATTGCTTCCTTTGGAAGGCAGATAGTACATGTCTTAGGCTTGTGGCACACCTTAGAGGTGTGTGTGTCAACGCTGCTTTTAAGCTGCATCCAGAAAGCTCCCAGTGAGAGCCCAGCTTCTCCCCAGGTGGGAACCAGTTGATGGTGGTTTTAGGCGCATTGCAATGTGACTGCAATAGGATTGATTTCTTGACAACATGCGGCATGGGCCCATTCTTGCAGATACAGTCTTGTGGTTGTGCTGCTCAGCTGTCAGCTTTTATTACCTTAATTATTTGTGTCTTGATTATCCAAGGGAAATTTTATTCCCAAATTGGTTTCTCTCAACTTCTCTCCTAGAGCAAATGCATCTCTGAGAATATAAATCCATGTTTGCATTCATCTAAAAGCTCTGTGCGCAGAACTGGTGGCCTGGGTTGAACTCAGCCTGTGTGTATTTCCTGGCTGTGCTGGGAGGTTGGCACAAGTGAAATAGCTGAGAACTCTTTCTGCTCCAATTTTAGAGGCTCCCAGGCTGCTGAGAAAAGGACATAGGGATGGAAATTGTGGGGACCAACATAGGACCGTTGATTTCTCTGTGTATTTCTTAACCCGAGAGCATGGCGTTGGTGTTGGGGATTCTTTTCAGGATTTATTATATCCTTAAGTTCTCGGAAGTGGCAGCAGTGGTTCCGAATTCTTCTGGCTTTCTCCTGATATGTTCAAATAAGAGTCTTGTTTCTTAGACCAGCCTCATACCACCAGTTAATTCCCCATTTTCTCCACTGAAGAAACTTCCCACAGTGAGTTATGCTTCTGTTTCCAATGGGCAGCACCCACTACAGGAGTCTCACAGCCCATGGAGGACTAATTCTTATCACAGGCTGGAGCACCTGCCCACAAATATCCCAGTCCTTTACTTCCTGTTGTTTCTACTTCTGTCCTCACCTTGCCTTCATTTCTACCCCCAGTGCCACCATTTCATCTTATTTCCAGTCCTTGGTTTGCGTAATTTATATGTTAAACTTTATCATAGTTGTGCGTGTGTAGGGGAAACCTAGGGTTTCCAAGTCCCCAGTGCGCGGGGCGCTGTATTAGTAAGTACCCTTGAGAGCCCTCAGCCAGCCCGGGAGTGCTAATCTAGGTCCCGTGGAGCTGCCAGGACACTCCCTGTCGCATAACCAGCTGTCTTGTCCCCGGGCTCGTGCTTTCTGGGCCGCCTTTTCTCCTAGTCTCCCCGTGCAGCTGTCTCTCTCAGGTTTCATTCTGCTTATAAATATAGTCCAACCTCTTTCTGGCCGTCATCAGGTTCGCTGTGCGTTTGGCCCGGAACAAGAATTACCGTTGAGAAAGCAGCCTTCATCCTCTTCCAGGGCATGGTCCCCCACATCCTGCCGTCTCTGGAGGTGGTACCCAAAAGGGTAAACCGAGGCTCCCCCCGGAGCAGGCAGTGACGGCGAAGTGAAGCACCCCACTGCCCCACTGACGGGCTGCAGAGTCGCCAGAGATGGATGGTTCCCCATGGCAAGCGGAGGCTGCCACGTGTCGACTCACGGTGTCATCGGTGCTTGGGGAAATTTGATCAAAATGTGAAAAGGGTGCCTTCTGGTCTGGGAGCTGTGTGACTCTCTGGTATTAAGCAAGACCCAGCCTTTCGTCCTGCTGCTTTAGCTGTCTCTGAAGGAAAGTGGGAGTTCCATCAGCCCTCACTCGCTGTGAGGCTGAAGTTTCCCTTCTGTAGATCTGGGGAACCATACTAAAGGTCCCCTGAGGCAGTGGTCTTCCCACATTGCTCTTACTACGGTTTTTATGTGAGAGAAGTACCAGTCCACGCTTTTCTGAGAAAACCAGATGGCCGCGCTGCCATGTTCACCAGAGACTTCCTAGATTGGCACCAAGTTTATTAGCATTTGCCAGTCTCAGAAGAACTAAGGAGCCTGGAAAAGCAGAGCGCCTGTGCGTTTTTCCCCCTGGCTGTTCTAAAGAGCCGGAGCCGGCAGCCGCACAGCTCTTATTGATCCATCGTTCTCCAGGCAGCTGCTGCAGACACGCAGCCTCCTTCGGCCCCGCTGCCCGTAGCAGATTTGCACGTCTGCTTTAAATCGTGCACTGAAACCATGTATGGCCAACTGAAGTCTGGTTCCAGCTCGGAGAGCTTCATCACAGCACTGACAGGAAAAGACAAACAGAAATCTGACTTACCACGGTATCCATCCGATAAGAAAACCACCCAAGGGTAGAGGAATAGATATTCTCAGCCACTCGGCCAAGCCTGCAAGGCTGTGGCGTTGTATTTCTAGGTGGATTTGGGAGCCTTTCCTAGGCAGAGCAGAGTTCTGACAGCTCCCTTCCCCAGCGGCCTGTGTGCCTGGGTCAGAACAAAGGGAATTCTGCTTCTCTGACTGGGGCCCCATGGTGGTCTCCTCTTGCCTGGTGATTCGCACACATTGCGGAAGTCTGAGTTCTGTCCCGGAAGTTGGGCGACACTTCCTCTTTGTGTCCCTGGATTTGCCTTTCTCTCCAGTCAAGCTGGGGGGTGCTGAGATGGCCTTTGCCGTGGGTCAGCATGAGCAGAACAGCAGCCTGGGCTTGAAAGGACAGCAACATTATTATGGGAGTATTCAGCAGGCTTGTCACCAGATAATTTATGTCACAAAAGACATGTAGCTTTTTTTTTTTTTTGTATAATGGAATTTCTACCTTAGCAGCTGTGTACCTGTGTATATATCAAAGCTTCTGCAGTAGCTAAACTTCGGATACTAGCTTGTGTTCGTGTGGCTTGCTCCTTCCCAGTGTTTTTTTTCCAAAAGGTTCTTTCAGTTAATGAAGGCTCTTCAGAAAGGAAAAGAGGTGGGAGCCCTAGCTGTAGTATCAAAAGAATATCTCAAAGAAAGTGTGGTTTGGTTTGGGTTTCAGCAGGTGAGGGAAACCTACTTAAAATGCGTGCCTTCTGCATCGGGAAACTCCGGCCTCCCCGTGAAAGTGAAACATGCTGTTGTTATTTAACTGATGTGTGTGGCTGGTAAGGGGAGGACTCGCTAAATTTCTGGTTCTGCCAGGTCCCTCTGAGCTGGCCATTGGCCTCTGTGACCTGATGAGTGCCCCAGTAGTGACATGCACAGCCGTGGCAGTTCCAGCGTTTCAAAGGCAAACCAAGCGCGCTCTCACTTGTGCCTTCTGGCGAGCCCGTGGCGAGGGGACCCTCTGGTTCCATCTACCGGTCCTTCCCAAGCGCTGACTTGGCACTGTGTATGGAATGAGCAGAACTGTGTGTTTCTGACTTCTGTTGAGAGGGCAACTAGCAGCAGTCTCTCCTTGAAACGGGTTCCCTTGCTCTGCCATTGCTCAGCACAGGGGTTGAGGCAGGGCCGGCTCCATGCAGCTCGGCTTGGAAGGCCTGGGGCCAACGGTGCCTCCACTGGTTATGGGGCTGGCCGGCCATACTGGCTCTTGGGCTGGTGTCACGATGCACTGCGAATTTTCTCAGAGATGGATATTCTGTTCGTTCCTTCTTGCTTTTCTCCATTCCTTACTTTGTCCTCTAGAAATCACTAGGGCCCTGGCAGAGGCCAGGCCTGGAAAGAGGGGGCATCAGACTCAGGCCAGACGTTGTGGGCTGAGGCTGCCGGGTGTGGGACAACACCGGAGGGGCAGGCAAGCTGGGGACGTGATGTTCACCGTCCTCTGGTCCCCATGGTCAGGGCTTTTATCCCTTTGAAAAGAAAATGCTGTGTGAGAGGGTAGGAGTAGAATATTTGCTGTTTGTTGAGAATGATCCGATTTTCCTGGTGGCGCCCAGAGTTGAGGAAAGGAGTGGATGTCTGTCTCGCAGGAGGCAGAGGGTGGCAGTTGCAGCTCTGCCTTCAGAATGCTGATCTTTCATTTCTTGGATGCTTTATGTAATTTTTTTAACAGAACGAAGTTGGCCTGCTGCAGTTCTTCCAAAATGTGATGAAAGAAACTAGGGCAGAGCCAAAAACGGTGACAAGCTGGGTCCTCAACGTGCTCCTGGGCTATTTAAAGCACCAGAACCTTGCCGTCAGTGAGAGGTGAGTGAGGGCGGGGGATTCTTTCTTCTTTATGGTGAATTCCGTGTCCAGAAGCAGCTGAAATAGGGCAGGGCGAGTTCTCCCTTCTCCCTGTTCTCCACCAGCGTCTCCTAACAAGACAACAAACCCCTGTGCATTCCAGATTCTAAAAATACCCCACATCCCCCGAACACTTGTCTGTTCACACCTCTGGCTGCTCACTGCATCCTCTGTGCTGTGCCGGGGGTGGCAGCCTGAGATCAGTCAAACAAGGGATTTACACACTGTGGCAGATGCAAGCCTGTAAGAAACAGTCATTTCCGTGTGATGGGGTTAGGCGAGGCGTGGGGGCTGAGCTGGGCCACAGCAGTCAGCCAGAGCTGCTCCCGGCTGATGCGTGAGCTGCACCCTGAGGAACTAGAGGGAGTTGCGGAGGGGTGGGAAGGACGGTCATCCGGGCAAAGACAGCAGTAATGCCGTCCCGGGGGCACGCAGCTACGGTGGGTTCAGAAAGCCCAGGGGCTGCAGCATGCTCAGGCAGGAGGCACGGCGGGAACAGCTGGAGAGACCAGGGTTCACCCGGAGGGCTTTTGGACAAAGCCTCAGCTCAGGGCTCCACTTGCACGTCCACACTGGGGTACAGCGTACAGCACTCAGCTTGTGTTGCTGTCACAGGTGCTCCAGTCTGGGTGGCTCAGACGGACCCCTGTTCCCGGCTGGGGATGTCCCACATCAAGGTTCCTCCCAGTTCGGGTCACTTCCTGCGTGCACGTGGCCATCGTCTGCGGTGCCTTCGCACCATGCAGGAGCTGGTGACATTGAAGTGGGGAGGAGCTGCTCAGAGGCAGGAGACCTGAGGCGGGCAGGGCCACTGGGATGCTGGGCGGGAGTGGCGTGGGGAGCAGCATGCGTGACGTCCGGGTGTGCAGTGCAGAGCAGTGGACTTGGCTGGGGAGCAGCCTGAGGCTCCCCCGAGGGCACCTTCCAAGAGGAAGGGATGAGCACCAGCTTGGAGTGCGGGGCACAAGGAAGAGGGTGCCTTGATGCGGACAGCCGGGCGGCAGTGCCTGCAGCACTCCGAAAGGTGTCTGTGCACAGTTAACACCACACTGTTTGCGTGTGTGTCCACGTTGAGCTGTGACGACACGAGGTCCGGTCACTTCTGCCTCGGCCCCTGACTCTGACCCTCGGTCTCTCAGTGTGAAATGAATATGGTGCTGCTGGCCTCGCAGGGGTGTTCTGGCTGGTGGGTCTGTGTAACTTTGCAGTGGTGGGCACGGGAGCCAGGCCTGGATTCCTCTCCCATGCTGGGCAAGCACCCTCCTTCTAAGCAACACCGCCATCCTCCGCAAAGGGTTTGGAGAGGAAGATGTGCTGAGCCTGCACACGGTGGGCCTCGGAGTCCCTGTCCTCCGCTCTGCCGTGTCTTTCATGCCCGTCCTCCGAGGTGTGACCTCTGTGTTCATAAACCTCACTGTTTACCTGAAGGTGCTGTGACCACTCAGAAGGTGGGAGCCATCGGGAATGGCGGTGGAGACAACGCTACCAAAGCCTTAGAGGCTGGGGAGATTTGGGGAAGCCAAGGGTGGAATGGCGGAGTCTGTGTTTGGGGGCGAGGGGAGTGGGTCGCAGTGGTGCAAGTGTGGAAATGAGCAGGACCCTGTCTTCGGGGAGGGTGGACCTGCGCCTGAGTGTTGGAAGTCACACAGAGAGGGCAAGGAAACTAGTCACCGCGTGGTGGGAGCAGAGAGCAGTGAAATTCACTCAGGCCAGAAGAGCCCAGGAGGGCCCCGGAAGGACAAGAGGCTTGCGCTTCCAGAGGACGGATGGATGCCTCAGCTCGGAGGTCTCACTCACCCCGTCATGGGCTGTAGTTCATGGAGCTGCTCGCTTTCAGTCTTGGGAGTGAACGTAACATCTTCTGGCTCGGCTCTTTCTCTAGTAGCCAAGGAAACGAGGCCCTCAGAGACAAGGCGCCTTCCCCCCAGTGGCACAGTGGCCAAGACCAGAAGCCAATCCCCAACCCAGGCCTTAGGACATCTGCAGTGTCGGTCCCTGAAATGAAGGGCGTGCTGTACAGCCCCTCTGTAGCTTCTGCTGGAGCGTAGGGACAGACTGGTCTGTTGAGTGAACATGTAGCCTCTGCCCTCGCCCCAGAATCCCAGCAGTACCAATTTTAAATAAAAATACACAAGGTTTTTCCAAAGTAAGTAAAGAAGCCATGCAGCCATTCTGTTTTGTAATTTATGTGGAACAGGAACTGAGAAGCCTGAACCAAGCTATTGCAGTTCTGCTTTTACGCAGTTCGAAGAGCTTTCACCCAGACTAGCGTCTCAGTCCATTTTCTCTTGTTAATAGCAACACCACAGACTGGGTACATCTGTTTTTAAGAGGATTGTTTTCGCACATGCTTCTGCTCCGAGGTTGAGGGGCTGCCTCGGGTGATGCCCTTCTCACAGGCACGGTCCCGAAGCCACATAGAGTGTCACAGTAGTGACGCAGCAGGTGAGGGGTCCCCTTGGCCTCAGAGCAGACCCTCTGGAGACAGCCCACCCTCTTGGGGGTGCAGGGTCTCACCTGGCCCCGCCCTGGTGATGGGATTTCGGTGTTAGCAGCGCATGGCACCTGATAGACCAGCCTGACGGGGCCACACTAGCCCCAGAACAGTTTACCCCGATTCTTGTAATGAGTAAATTTGATAAAACTCATTTTTACATTTCCTGTGATCTTATAAAAATTAATGAAAAAATAGGCAGTTTTTGGCCATCCTGTATTTAAATGATTGGACCAGAAAGTGATTGATTAATGAACAGCCTCGGCCACTAGGGCACCTGGACCCACGCTTAGTAGGGCTGTCGCTGCAGAGGCAGCAGCAGTCACACGATGCTGCCCAGCCGGGGAGACTGTTTAGCCGAGAAGCCAGTGGTGGTGACCCAGAGATTAGTCCAGCAGTGTGATCTGGGAAAGCATCCAGAACTGGGGCAGCAGGCGCCAGGAGCCTTTTAGGGCCCCTGGAGGCTGGTGACAGCATGTCATAGATGGCGAAGGGCATGCAGAGGAAGGGCTGGCTCTGATTTGTGTGTTGAGGGATCACTAGGATTTGGTAATAATGGGCTGGATTTGCAGGAGTAGGCAAGGAATAAAGCAAAGCCCACATGATGGTCTGCACCCAGGTAACCAGAAGAACAGTCCTGTCGTCCAGAGAGACAGAAACCGAAACCGTGGGGCAGAAAGTAAGTCTTGGCATTCTCTGGCGAGAAAGCCAGGTGCCTGTTTTGTGTAGCCTGTAAGGGAGAAGTATTTGCCTTCCTTTTCTCCAAAGGGGGCTTACTGGGCTGAGGCTCAGCTGGGGGTGTATTTAGCATTTGCAAGGCCTTCAGTTCCCAGCAGCAGTCACTCAGGCGGTGAAGACTGACCTGGACCGCGTGAGGCCCACAGAACTCAAGTGTTTACTGTCGTTCTTCCCAGCTCACTCCCCTGGCGTGGAGCCTGTGTTGGCTGAGCACGGGACCTCCCAGGACAGGAGCAAATGAAGCAGGTAGAGAGCAGATCCAGAGCATGACAGTGGCCCTAGGAACCAGACGCACTTCCCTGTGTACCCTGAAGAAATGCCGGCACCCAGAGCTCCGAGCAGGGAGTGGAAGGCGATAGCCAAGGGGAAGTTATCCAGGAGGCCCAGGCTGTTCACAGGGGCTGCACCTGGAGTCAGGTAAAACAGGGAAATTTGAATACTTGGCAGCCAATGAGGGGTAGTTTTCTGTAGAGAGGTAGGGTGGAATCCAAGTGACATGTGCTTATAGCACCAGCAGCCACTAAGGCCGGATTTTTATTGGCAAAAATCTGGTGAGAAACCAGGCAGATCACGTAGCTGCAAAGACAGATTGACAGGAGGCACTTTGAAGCTAGAAAAGATCTGAGCATTTGGGAACAGTGAGATTAAAGGAAAGTACGGGTCTGAGAGGAATCTAGGAATAGAATGGGGGGAATTGAGAGCACGCTTGAAGGGGGTGTCGGCCGGAAGCAGGAGACCATCCTAGAAAACGCAGGACCAGGAAGTGGAAGGGGACGGGTGGGAGGAGGCCATCTCGGAGCAGTTGCTGGGAGTCAGGGGGTCGGGATGCCAGGTGTGGGGCAGCGGGAAATGAGAGAGAAACCAAAGGATCGGTGAGCAGCACGAGCCACCAGAGCTCCACGTCCCTGCATCTTCCTCCAGGGGCTTCTTGGGTTCTTTCAACAGGAGCAGAGGAGGGGGACTTGGACCTAGGACCATGACGGTGAACCTTTTAGAGAGGAGTCCCCAAGCCACAACCCAAGAGCCACTTACTGCAAACTGCTGACTGTTCATTAAACCCGAATACTGAGGTTTTAGTTTAGAAAAAACAGCTCATACGTTAACATCTTTTGTCTGAAAAGGAAAACACAATAACAGGGCTTTCAATGATACAAACAGCCCACTGCAGCACGCGTGCCATAGGTTTGCCAATGCTGACCTAGGATGAGGGTAGGTAGGACTGAGGTGGGCAGCCGTTCTCTGCAGGGTGGGCATGGTTGAGAGTTGTCAAGGGTTCTGTTCCAGAATCTTGACTGGATATGGAGCTGTGATCCCAAAAGGCTCTAAGGGATTGGATGAAATTGGTCCATTTGAAAGGTCCCATTTCCCTCTGTGGATACACTGGCTTGGAGAATCAGAAGAGAGACAAGCACTTAAAGCTTAAGCTTACAATGTCACTTTCTTCTTTAGAGACACGTTTGCTGTCCAAAATCCAGTATTATCTGACAACACAAATTTGTGGCTTGGGCTTCTGCTGCCGTCATGCCTGAATCTGACAGCTTGTTTATTTAACTGATGAGGGGAGTCTTTAAGGGTCCATATGACAGGTACTGATCTTCGCCATCTTACTCAAGTTTAACCCTGGCATAGCTGCAGTTAGGACAGTCAGCCTTCTATATCTGTGGCTTCGACTAACTGCAGATTAAAATATCTGAAGGAAAAAATTGTATCTCCACCGAACATGTTCAGACTTTCTTCTTCATTATATTCCTTAAACAACATAGTCTAATGACTGTATAGCATTTTACTGTATTACATACAGTAATCTGGGAGTGATTTAAAGTATACAGGAGGTTGTGCAAGGCTTCTGTCCATAGTTGCCTGGCTTGAAGACAGGGTGGCATGACAGAGGAGAAACAGTCCATGGCAGGGCAGGCAGGAAATAGCGAGCAGCAAGCTGCATGGTGACCTTCTTTATATCCCTTTATATTCTATCCAGGCTGTTGATTGGTGCCACTCACACCCAGGGTAGAGCTTCCCATTGTATCTACACCCAGAAATATACTAAACCAATAAACCAGTGGGCTCATTTAGTACCACAGCTCTTAATGCATATTCATACAACCTGGGTCCAGCCCGCTGTGAAAAGCCCCACCTACAAGTGCATGAGGCTTTGGGGGGACATCTAGATAGAAGCCATAACAGGGAACAGAGGTAATTGAGAACTCCAGAGGTCTGTTACGTCAGTCAAGAGACCTATAGTGTAAATTTATAATATAACTAATGAATTAGGGTCCACGGATAGTTTTCCATGGGGGAAATATTTTCAGTTATTTTGTGTTCTTTTTCTGTCCTCCTCCACCTATGTCTTTCATCATTGCCATGGCTTGAATGTTTGTTTCTGCTCAAGATCCCTATGTTGAAATTTTCACCCCCAGGGTGATGATGGTGTTAGGCTATAGGGCCTGCAGGGGGACTGATTAAGTCACTCAGATGAAGGGATTTATGCCCCTACAAGGGATTAATGCTCTTTTGAAGGAAGCCCCAGAGAGCTAGCTCACCCCTAATGCCTGTGAAGACAGCAAGAAGGTGCCGTCCCTGAGAAGGTACCAGATACAATCTGCCGGCACCTTCGTCTCCAGCTTCCCAGCCGGAAGCACTATGAGAAGGAAGGTCCTGTGGTTTATAAGCCACCCGCCTGTGGGGTTCTGTTACAGCAGCCCGGACGGACCAAGATAATGATTGACCCATACAGGGCTGGGGACTTCATCTCTTACACGCTCTCAGGAAACCTACTTTGCCCTCAGTGCTTACGGGTTCTGCACAGTGCGCACTGTAGGATAAGTGGTGTATTGTCTAGGATTGCAGAACATCTACACAACCGACCCTCTCAGAAGAACCTAACTCTTTATCCTTCTCAATAAAGATGGGAAGTCGGGAAAGGACATTGGCTGATTTTTCAGTCCTCTGCCACTCTTCCTTTTGGGGTTTGATCAGGGTGAGCACAGACATTCTGAATCACCTTAGTAAGCCAGATGCTCTCCTGACTTAATTTCCACTTGGAATCACGTTTTAACCATCCTTTGGACAAACACTTTAAGGATGAGCCTGTTAGTTTAGAGTTCACGGAAACAGACATCAGGGCTAAGGTGTTGTTCCTTTCCAAATAAATTAACAGGGAATGGCAGGAACCAATACTTGCCCCGAGGTGTTTTCAGTGGCCTTGAGTATTTCAGAAGTCTGCACTTACTTACGCACTCGTGTGCTCTGTGTGGCATTCCTGTTCTAAACTGGTTCCCTCACGATCTCAGACAGCGTGCATTAGTTGCTTTATGTACAGTAGCACTCTAGCAAAACCGTGTATTTAAGAAGCCTGTAATGCATTGTCTTTTCAGTCATCTTGTTGCACACCCTCGCCCTGCTGCGGCTGTGAACTGATGACACTGTGTGTGTTTAGCTCCCCCTGACCTTCTGCGTCTCGGGACCTTGGTGCATACATCCTGTTGTGGAAATGTAGATGTAATGAAATCTGGGCCCCTGAGTGTCCCAAACGCTGATAGCGAATAGAGAGGGCCGGTGAGGACGGGCAGACACAGGGCTGGTGCACATTGTGTCCCCTTACTGGAAATCTACTATTAAAAGGAATTTATATTTGCACAGAAATACTCGCAAAACTGGCTTTGTTAGCTGCTTTGTTTGAAGTAATTTTTAGGCTGATCTTTCAGTTGAAAATAATTACTGGATTTGTTTCCCTTTCTCTTTGTGGTTCATGAATTTTTCAGCCACCTCCTTCTTTGACTAATTATACTGAGCAGTTGTCTATTGCTACAATTCTGCCAAACAGCTGTCATTGTTGGGTGGTAAAATGAGGGGGAAAAATACTACCAGTCATGGGAGTTTGTTATATCCTAAAATACAAAGTAAGTAAAATAAAATGGCCCATTTGGCCCATTATTTTTGTCTCTGGGCGCGCTCCTGATCATTTAAGTGTGCAAGAGCGAGTGTTGGATTCTGCTAGCAATTGATGGGTCCTGTGCCAGTTTGGATGCAAACTCACTTTCTCTTTCTCCTTTGGTGGCCACCAGTCCCATCACGCCCTCTGCACTCGCTGGACTTCTCGACCTGCTGGACAGTAAGGCAATTTCTTCGTCAGCAGCTAAACAGGTATGTCTACACTTCCAGAGCTCCTCTCTCCCAGTAAACGTTGCTATGAAACTGAGATGCCATCACTAAGTGAGTTTCGTAATTGAGTGCTTTATTTGTTTTGGTTTTTTGAGGCAGGGTCTCACTGTGGAGTTCAGGCTGGCCTTGAACTCACTGTGTAGTCCAGGTGTGGTGATCCTCCTGCCTCAGCCTCTTGAGTGCTGGGATTCAAGGCATGTGTCACCACCAATGAAAGGTAGAAAGACTGTTCAGCAAAGGTAGAAAGGCAGCATGTGCACCCTGCTCACTGGGGGCCATCGTTACTGTATGGCTTTGCCTGGATGTCTCCCCAAACACTTGTTTGTATAAAAGGCCGGGGCGCTGTAGCTCTCAAGGGTTTTCCTCAGGCCAAAGGCAGCCTCAGCTTGGCTCCCAGCCACCTGCTCTTCTCATGTCCTCACTGTGCTCCCGAGGCTGCCTGTGTCCCAAGGCTGCCCTCGCAGGTCCGTCCTCAGCAAGAAGGGCAAGGGCACGCTGCTGCTGCACACCCAGCCAGTCAGGCTTCGCACGCACCCAGGGAGCAAAGTCAGAAGAGCAGGCTGAGGTGAGGCGGCCTCTCCCTGTCTCCAGTCCATCCAGCGGTGCTGAATGTGCCAGATTCTTGGAAGTGGGAAAACCGGGACAAATAGGTAGCCAGCAAGATAAAGAACATCTCGGCAGCAGCCTCTTCTCAACTTCAGAGATCGCAGCTGTCAGTGCTGCAGCCAGAGCCTAATGTTATTTTAATGGCGCCTTCGCATCTAATATTTATACACCCCGACAGCAGTGGCGGGTTACAAAGAGTGGCTTGTGGCTAATTATCAGGAGCCACGAGCCTGCACTGGGGCTCTGCTGTGCGTCAGGGCGGAGCCGATCAAGGCGCTGCGGAGCCACCTTGGGCGAGGCTGTCGGCTGCCGGGTTCGGCCCCACCCTTTAGAAAGGGCTTTGGGCCGGTGTCAGAGAGGTACAGATGTCCGTGACAGTGCAGCGGTTGTAGAAAGATTACTTGGTTCAGGGCAGAAAAACTGTGTACATACACATCCACACGCACGCAGATGGACTGAGCATCTGAAGGGAAAACCCACCCTTCTCCCCCGCCAACGAAACAAAACCCCCGTGCAGTGAGGAAGGCAGGGCGGAGCTGCTGAGGCTGGGTTCAGACGGATGGACACGGGCTTGCTTTCGGATGGACACGGGCTTGCTTTTTCTCGGCTTCCAGCGAGTTTAAAGGAGGCAGGTGAACTAAAACAGGCCTGAGGAGAAAGGTAGAAAGGTGTTTCATGCTGGGCTGCACATAAGGGACTCTCCCTTCCATGCCATTGCCTTGGGTTTTTTATTGTTTTGTTTTCTGCTCTTTGTTTTCTGCTTTGAAGACAAATCACTGTGGAGTGTGCTCAGAGCAGGAGGCCTGAAGAATGGCTTCCCTGTTTACAACACACCCAACAGGAAGCCGGGGGTCATTGGGACAAAGGGGACACAGCTGTGGCTTCCCTGTGCCCAGACGCCCTACACACACCCCGTGCTCTTGCGGGAGGTGTCAGGACGGGGCCAGGGGCAAGGCTGGTAGGGGAGGAGGCCCAGTTATAAAGTCTGAACCAAAGAAAGAAGGGAAAGAGACAAGGTGACTGAATTTCTGGGGCAGATAATGTATGTTGGTTACAAGCAGTAACAGAAAAATACGATTTGTTAATCATCTAAACACCCTTGAAATAACTGCCGCTGACATCAAGCGCAGCTCATCCCAGGCGCGTTGACGCATATGAGCAAGAAGCGCGGACAGACAGGGAGTCAGAGACCTCCACACAGGCTTCTAGTGTGCTTGCGTAGAGTTCACCAAGTGAACTGTTTGTCGGTTCTGTGACACACTTTATTGTTAGTAATGTGTATTACACGTGTGAGAGTGTGACGTCTGCCCCCGCCTGCAGCGTGCATTGTCACACCCAACCACACTTCCTCTCCGGCACCCTTCCCACTTCTAGTCCTGTCTCCCTGTGTCTGGCTTATTTCTCCTAACACAGTGTCGTCCGGTTCTACCCACTTTACAACAGCTAGCAGGTTTTGTTCTTGAAGGCCGACTAGTGCTCCACTGTGACTCTAGTAAACATGTTTTCTCTGTCTCTTGTCGTGTACTTAGCTGATGTTGAGGACAGTGCCATAATGCACACGGGCAGGCAGGTGTGCCGTGTGCTGACTTCACTTCCTTTGGGTGTACGCCCAGGAGGGGCGAGCTGGATCACATGGTAGTTCTTCTTTTCCTTTTCCAGGAACCTCATAGTGGCTGAACTTACTCACCTATTAATAGTTTTTACAAGAGTTCCTTTTTCTCCACGTTTTCGCCAGCGTTTTTTCTCATAATATTCATTCTCACTGGGGTGAGATATTATCTTATTGTAGTTTTTAATTTGCATTTCCTTGATGGCTAATGATATTGAGCAATTATTCACATGTTTATTGGAATTTGTATTTCTTCTTTGAGATGTGTCCATTCAGCTCATTTGTCCTATTTACTTATTTATTTATTTTCTTTTTGGTACCGGAGATTGAACTCAGGTCCTTGTACTTGCGAGGCGGGCACCGGAACGACTGAGCTAAATCCCCAGCTCTCATTTGACCATTTTTAATCGGATTCATCTTTTAAATGTTCTAGGTATTAGCCCCTTGTCAGATGGATAGCTAACAAGTATTTTCTCCCATCTCTGTAGATTCTCTTCACTCTGTTTCCTTTGCTGTGCTGAAGCTATTTTTTTTTTTTTTTAAACCGGGGATCAAACTTGGGACTTTTGCGCTTGCAAATATGCATGTGGGGTCCTATTCAGAAAATCACTGCCTGTACCACTGTCTTAAAGTGTCTCTGCTGTTTTCTTTTAATAGCTTCAGAGTTTCACGTCTCACCATTAGGTCCTTGATCTATTTTGAGTTGATTTTTATACATAGTGAGAAATCTGAAGAGGTCCAGTTTCTGCATATGAGCATTCAGTTTTCCCTGCACTGTCTGTTGAAAAGGCTGTCCTTTCTTCAGGGGATGGTGCCTTTGGGAAGAATCAGTTGGTCATGATGCACGGCTTTATTTCCCAGTCTCTGTTCTGTTCCACTGGTCTCTGTGTCTGCTTTTATGCCATACTGTTTTGGTTACTGGAGCTCTGTAGTATATTTTGAAATCAGTTAGTGTGATGTCTCTGGTTTTGTTCTTCTTGCTCATGATTGCTTTGGCTACTTGAGGTCTTTTGTGCTTCCATATTAATTTTAGGGTTTTTTTAGCTGATATGACTTGTATCTTAAATGTCTCCAAAGGCTTACTGTTGAAGGCTTTGTACCAAGGTGATTTTCTTCTGGAAAGTGGTAAGTCCTTTAAGGAGTGGCCTTGTGGAAGGAAGTCAGGCCGTTGTGGGGTACCCTTGAAGGGTATATGGGGCCCATCTCCTTCCTTCCTCTGTGTCTCTTGCCTTTACAGCCACCATGAGGTGAGTAGATCTGTTCCACCACACACTTCCTGCCACAAGCCCCAAACTAGAACCTATTATGATCTCAAACCACTGAGGCCATGGGCCAATAGAAACCTGCCCCCTTTTAAGTTGTCTCAAGTGTTTTGTCACAGCAGTGGAAAGTGACTAACACACTAGTTCTTTGAAGAATATCATTGGTGATTTGAGATCGCACTGAATTGCTTTGGGTAGCATGGACATTTTAATAATATTACTCTGGTCATGAACATGGGAGGTCGTTCCATCTCTTAATGTGTTTTTAAATTTCTTTCATCACTGTTTTATAATTTTCAATGTAGAGAGCTTTCCTCAGTTAATTCCTAGATATTGTTGTATTTGTAGCTATTGTGAATAGGGTTGCTTCTGTTTCTTTCTCTTCCAGTCTGTTAGTGGTATAAAGAAAAGCTCCCAACATTTGTATGCATTTGTATGAATTAATGTATCAGTTCTAATAGTCTTTTGGTGGAGTCCGTAGGTTTTTCTCTATATGAAATCATGTCATCTGCAAACAGGGATAACTTGACTTTGTCCTCACTATTTCTATGCTCTGTTTCTTTCTTGTGCCTGATTGCTCTGGCTAAAACTTGAGTACTCTGTTGACTAAGAACAATGAGAATAGACCCTCACCTTGTTCTTGATCTTAGAGGAACACTTCCTGCTTTTCCCTGTTCAGTGTGTTGTTGGCTGTGCATTTGTCATAAATAATAGTCTGTTATGCTGAGGTATGATCCTCCCATACCTCATTTGTTCAAGATTTTCATTAATGAAGTTTTCAAATGCTTTTTCTGCATTTACTGAGATCATGATTTTATCCTTCATCCTATGTGTGTGATGTATTTTGTTTGATTTGCACCTGTTGAACCTTCCTTGAATCTGTGAGTTGAAACCAACTTGATCATGATCTTTTTCATGTGCTATTAAATTCAATTTTCTGGTGTTTTGTTGAAGAATTGTATATCTGTGTTCATGAGGAATATTTGTGTACGGTTTTGTTGCACACGTATGAGTTTCTGTCTGTCTGTGTCTGATTTGGTAACAGGATAATGCTGGCTTCATAAAATGAGTTTGGAAAGGTTCCTTACCTTTCAGTGCTATAGGATACTTTAAGCATTGGTATTCTTTAAAAGTCGGTAGAAATTTAGCATTGAAGCTATTCAACCATGGGCTTTTCTTTGTTAGATTTTATTGCTGATTTAATTTTATTACTTGCTGTTGGTCTATTTGAGTTTTTTGTATCTTCTTGGTTCAATTTAAATGGATCATGTGTCTGGTAATTTTTTTATTTTGCCCAGATTTTATAATTTGGTAGCATATAGTTTTTCAAAATAATTCCTAATGACCTTTTATTTTTCTGTGGAATCACTTGCAGTGTTTCCTTTTTCATTTCTAATTTTATTTGGGCTCACAGTTGCTCTTTGTCTAGCTAAAGTTTTGTCAATTTTATCTTTTCAAAGAACCAACTCTTGTGTCATTTATCTTTTTTAAACTTTTAGCATATTTCATTTATTTCTGTTCCAATCTTTGTTATTTCTTCTACTAATTTGGTGTTTGGTTTGTTGTTATTTTCCTAAGTCCCTGAGATTGTAGTTAGGTTACTTGAAATTTTTCTTTTTTAATGTAGGCACTCATTACTATAACTTTCTCTCTCATTTCCTCTCAGTACTACTTTTTTTTTCTTCCATCCCATAGGCTTTTGGTATGTTTTCTTTCCATTTTCATTTGTTTCAAAACATTTTTAAATTTCCCTTCTGGCTTCCTCAGTGACCCAGTACTTGTTTTGAAATGTGTGTTATTCAATCTCCATGTAGTGAGATAATTTCTAAAGTTTCATTCTACCATGATCAGAAGAGGTAAAAGATATGATTTCAGTTTTTGTTGTTTCGTTTTGTTTTCTTTTGTTTTACACTTTGTTAAGACTTGTTTTGTGCCATTGTAGAGAAGGGTCCAAATGGTACTAAAAAGAATGTATTCCACAAGTGCTAGGTGGAGTGTTATGTAAATATCTATTAAGTTCATTTGATCTGAAATATAGTTTAACTCTGAAATTTGATTTTTTTTTGTTCTGTTCATTGATTACAGTGAGATGTTGAAGTAAGTCCTTACTTTTGATGTATTGAAGCCTATCTCGTTCTAGTAATGTTTTGTAAAATGTTTGCTCTGCTATTACGTGCATATAGATTTTATAATTATTATGTCTTCTTGATTTGATCCCTTGATCATATAGTAACCTTGTTTACTCTTCTTAAGATTTTTTTTTTTTATCTTAAGGTCTGTTTTGTAGCATATAGTTGGAGCTCTTTCTGCTTGTTTTAGGATTGCATTTCCTTGGAATATCATTTTATAGCCTTCGTCTTTCAGCGTGTGTTTCTTCACTTGTAAAGTTAGTTTCACATAGCAGCAAATTCTGTGTCTTTTTTTAATCAGTCTGCATCTTTTACTTGGAGAATTTAGTGCATTTACATTCACAAAGTTATATATTTACAAGACTATTGAAAGTTGCAGATTTATGCCTGTCATTTTGTTGATTTTCTTCTTTTAGATATTCTTTGTCGTTTTTTTTTTTTCCCCCTTGTTCATCTTTTATACTTTGATGGTGTACTGTATTGGTAATTTTATTTTTTGTTTCTCTTGTGTGTCTGTTCTTCTAGTGGGATTTATACTTTTGTATGTGGTCACGATGGGAGTTATCTTTCTTTTGCTTCTGGATGTAGAACTCTCCTAAGCATCTTTTGTAAGGCTGCTGTGGTGGTCATAAATTCAATATTTGTTTATCTTGGGAGTTCTTTATTTTATCTTCATTTCTAAAAAGGATAGTCTTGCTAGGTGTAGTAATACTGGCTGATAGTTACTTTGATTTAGGACTTCGTTCCAGTTGCTTGTGGCCTGGATGTTTCCACTGAGAAGTCTACTGATGACTAAGAATGTGTGACCCTTTTCCAAAACAAGTCTCTACAGACTTCATGTTACTCATCTACATGATGAACAAGCCTGGGGCTATAAAACTTCCTGGTGGTGGGGATTACAAGCATCCA